TCTGTAATTTTAATTAAATAAATAAAACAATGAAATAAAGGCAAGAATACAGCAAAGTTACACCAAAACTTTAATTTTTAAGTTTTATTTCTGATTTTTTTATTTATTTTATTTTACTTTTTATTTTATTTTTTAATGTGCAACAATAATGGAACCAAATTCCCTCCATATTTTCCTTGCAGGTATGTATCTGACCAGGGTCCAGGGGAGTACCGTTCACTATGTCAGCACAAGTTGCTGACGTCTCTGCAGCTTCCAGCCCCCGCTGCACGCCTCCACCCCCCCACACAGCTGGAGTGGACGTCCAATCAGAGGAAAGGAACGATGCTTGTGGAAGTTAAGACTTTTAATGGTAGGTGAAATAAATCCCATCAAGGCTTATTTTAATAAAACACAAAATAAAACATCAAGCATGAAATAGAAATAAAAACAACAACTGCTCTGACTTCAGATGAAGAGTTGACAACTGAGGTGGAGTCATGGACCACAGGAGAGCAGCTGGCTTCTTGGCTTCTTCGTTATCGGTATTCAATTTCATTTATAAAACATGTTTTCAAAGAAACAACTTCAGTTTGTGTTGTTGTGTAATTTTATTCTGCTGGAACTTAGAGGTGTGATGGAGGCTCTGCAAGGCTGGTCTGTGTCTATTGCTACCGATGAAGGGTGGTCAGACCTGGCCGGCTCTGACTTTGTCATGGACCTTCTGGCTGGGGCTGAGGCTGAAGCTGAAGCCCTTCATGGACCAGCGACGCCCTCCTCCGCAAACTCTGACTACCTGTTTAGAAACCAAGGAGACAGGTAAAACCAAACCAGGTCTCTTCAAGGATCTACATGTTTTTTTTATATCTTATTTCAAACAAATTTAGTCCAAAACAACAAATATTACTGATGTCGTCTGAATATATATCAGTATATATCAGACTATATATCAGATCAATCCTCCTTTTATAAAACAGCTGCCTTTAAGCAGAGGCTTATCATTAAGTCCTCATATCTGTATTAAACTGTTGTTTTATAACAATTTATTTAATCTGATGTAACTTTATAGTCATCTAAGGCACCTAACATTTCAGCCAGGGACCTCAAATATAAGTTACCACAAATTTTTTCTGTTTTTATTTATGTTATAAAGTGAAAAAAATCCACTTATTTTTTGAATAAATGGAGTTTATGCATGATATTTTAATATCTTATAAATAATTTTTACGTTTT